GATCGGACGGTGCCAGGCGCCACGGGAACTTCCCCATGCAGAGAGGGGGTGCAGTGAGTGCCTCCGAGGGCTGACCATGGCAGAGGCACCACACCCGCCAAGAAGGACAAGCAAAGCCAACGCGACACCCTGAACCGACCCCGACCAAGGACAGCAAGAGATCACCGTCTCGAAGAAGCAAAGCGGCACAGCGGCGCAGCAAGCCGGGTGCAAGCTGCCACCCCTCCGGAAGGGCTTCGTGACCACTCACAGTTTTCAGAAGCCGGCAGGTTGATCGCTCCCCATGTGAGAAGCAAACGTGCAGAACCGGGAGGAGTCTGACGCACAAAGTGACAACCATCCTCGTGATAGCGAGTAGGAATCCAGCGCTCAGAGCTCGCCAGGGTGCGAGGGCGAATGAACTGAAGAACGTCAGGCGGCCACCTACTGCCTGAATGAACCCAGTGTCTTTCACAGTGGAACGAAGGGTCACCCGTCTCACTCCAGACATAAACCCAATCGCCATGAGCGACAGTAAAAGGGAAACTGCCAGCACGTGAGGTGTGGAAGCCAACAGATGTGCTGGTGCCGAGGCGGAAAGTGCTGCACTCGGATTCAAGCTGTGCACCTCCTGTTTTCCGAGCCGGTGGCACAGAAGTCTCAGCCGGGTATCCGATGTAGCAAGACGTGATTGTCGGTGATGATAGTGGTGCCGATGACAATGATGATGGCGATGGACATATGTAGGAATGACGATGATGCAGACAGACAACTTCTTCTCACTGGTGTTGTTCACGGCAACCATCGATAGCATCATCATCATCACCACCACCACCACTATTACCATCGTCGTTGTAAACCACCGTTACCATCATGACCATGACCATTGTCATGAAAGCCGTCAGTACATGTACTAGATTGAGAGATGTACTCGACTCTTGCAGACTCCCACGTTCTCTAGCCCTAGAAAAAGCTTCAGCAGGCGACGCATATCCAAACGGCCCCACACACAACATTCGAAGTCTGTTTCTCTTTCATCTTTGTGTCATACTGAAAAACCAACCTCTCGAAAGCAGACTTGAAAGCATACCGGCCAGGCCTCTCGATGGCTTCTGCAACCATGCCTTCATTCAGATAGCCTCACTTGAGCACGAATTCACATCTCCCATAGCTGGCAACTGCTTGTGCACAGACGAATGAGAAAATGCGACCTTCTGCAGATCATGCCAAGCGCGAGCGAATGCTATTCATTGGACTGATATTTAGCACTTGTTTTTGGTGGTGCTGGTGCATGGAAAATGGGTTTGACTATGGTTTGACTTCAAGGAGTCGTGCCACAGGAAGGCTTGCAAGGCTGCACCAGATAAGGAAAGAGAGGGACGCAGCTTGGGTCGACAGTAGTATTCAGCTGCCAGGCGACAGTCAGCCAGTGATTGCTGGACCTTTCACAGATTTCAAACACCGAAGTCTGAATGCCCAGTGGCCATCGGATCGGCTAACTTTTGCTACTGGGAATTCTCTAGTAATGCTGACTGGGCTACGAACATGAAGGCTCAATTGCTGCTCGATGCCTGGAGTACGACAGGTACAGCGAAATCTAAAGACATAGCGGGTACTGCGATGTCCGGCGAAAGTTTGTCACGCTTCCGACTGCTTGCTTGCACGATTCGCCGACGGCTTGCGATGCATCTGCCCGAGACTAACCTTCAACTGAAGAGCGTTGCCACAAGTTGTGACAATGCGCTGTGCCTGCATGCTGCCCCTACTTTCGAAGCAGCCTGGTCACTTAACTCATCGCTCCGCAAGACCACGAATTTGAGGAGGCGAATCTTAAAGTAGGAAGTGTCTAGAGATGTCTGGAGTCGAGAGTCGATTTGGCATCCCAACTACTCGTGATCCCATGCAAACCGGATCGAACCAGAGTGCCGGGGAATTTCGCTCTCCGGCCTTTGCCAGCATTACAGCATCGCTCGAGAAACTCATCTTCTGCAGCACGGCCAACAGCATGGCCTTGAGATGGAGGCAGCACGGGCTTGCATGCCCTCAAACTCAGAAACCCACGGAAACACACACCATTGCGACATGCCCAACCCATGGCACCCACTCACAACACTACTCGACGACATTCCCTCAACCTGCAATCGCGTGGCAATTGCGGCTGGACCATCACCTTCCTGTTTGCGCACAACAGCTTTGCGCCACAGGTCCTCGCTGTGGGACTGCTTTGGGCTCTCAGTTAAGATTCGAAGCTAAGTGATGCAAGCTTCAGGCGTTAGAATTCCTCAAGGCTTGCCACCGGGAATCGTTAGTTTCCCAGGTCACGGATTGTCCAGAGGCTCACAGACTTCGAACTGTGGATGTACTGCCGCCGTGCATCTAGATGGACAGTTTCTTTAGCGAGTGAAGACGCTGGAGCACCTATCATCATCCGTTGTACGCCTTCTAAGTGCTCTGCGAGGTCCTCTGCGTCTGGCTCATCGCCTGTCAATCTGGTGGCCTCCTGCGCCAACGTCTCGGCCAGTAGCGAAGAGAAGAAGAGAGGACTACTGATAGCCCCAAGGTCTAGGGACAATGGAAGCCTTTGCGCAAATCAGCAGGAGGTTCAGCAGTAGCAGTAGAAGTAGCAGTGGCAGTAGCAGTGGCAGTAGCAGTAGCACTGGCGGCAGGTAGCGGTAGTGGTAGTAGCAGTAGTAGCAGTAGTAGCAGTAGTAGCAGTAGTAGCAGTAGTAGCAGCAGTAGTAGTAGTAGTAGTAGTAGTAGTAGTAGCAGGAGCAGCAGTGGCACTGGCACTGGCACTGGCGATGGCGATGGCAGTGGCAGTGGCAGTAGCAGTAACAGCAGAGGTGGTGGTAGTAGCAGTAGCCGTAGCAGTAGCAGTAGCAGCAGCAGCAGCAGCGGTAGTAGCAGTTAGCAGCAGCAGTGGCAGTGGCAGTAGCAGTAAGAGTAGCAGTAGCAGCAGCAGTAGCGGTACCAGTACCAGTAGCAGTAGTAGTAGTAGTAGTAGTAGTAGTAGTAGTAGTAGTAATAATAACAATATGAATAGTAGAGGCAGTAGTAGTAGTAGTAGTAGTAGTAGTAGTAGTAGTAGTAGTAGTAGTAGTGATACTGCCACTCGTATTAAAAGCAGTAGCAGTAGCAGTAGTAGTAGTAGTAGTAGTAGTAGTAGTAGTAGTAGCAACAGCAGCAGTACTAGCTTGCAATAGTAGTAGTAGTAGTAGTAGTAGTAGTAGTAGTAGTAGTAGTAGTAGTTGTTGTTGTTGTTGTTGTACTACTACTACTACTACTACTACTACTACTACTACTACTACTACTACTACTACTACTACTACTACTACTACTACTACTACTACTACTACTACTACTACTACTGCTACTACTGCTACTACTACTACTACTACTACTACTACTACTACCACAGAAACGCAAGCTCCAGGACTCGATGACGCTACTACAAATATCTGTCCGCGTTGCTGCTGATGTCAGCTCGGAGTGAAATTGCAGTAGCTCTCACAGCGCAACATGTCATAGTACCTTCTTATGCTTGGACTGCGCATCCCCTAGCGGTACCACCTGAACAAATACTCTTCGAGATAGCAGCGACTGCGAACGGAAAGACAACAAGCGTACACCTGCTACTTGCAGATATCACATGCCCCCCCACAACGACGGGCGGGGCCAACTCCAAGTCAACAGGTCGGATATTTCTGAAACTTGCCTCCAAAGCGTTGCTGGCCCGCAGCGTGTCACCCATAGCGCTGTAGACTGTTCCGAGCTGCCTGTCATGCGTGGGTCGGGCCGGGTTCGGAGCTCGAAGTGAACATGGGGCCCACGGCTGTGCGTGCTTTGATGGAATGGCCTTTCTGCCAATACCTACGGACCTACTGTGTAGAGAGGCTCGTTAGGGAAACGTGGAAAATATAGAAAAAACCTAAGGTCAAAGCCTACACAAAAAGTCAAAGGAGAACACGATGCACATCAAGCCCACAGCAACGACACTAATAGGAAGGTTCCGTAGGTCGTGAATTCAGTGCAGGTAACGAAAAGGAAGTGTCTCTAAGTGCCAACGACACGCGCACACAGGCGCGCACACACAAACACACACACACACACACACACACCGACTGCGTTGAGCTACTGCTCCTCCTCCTGCTGCTCCTGCTCCTGCTGACAAGCTACCACGATCGTATACTGATCTATAGACGTTGCTATCAACACCATCCTCCTGGATCATAGGCTGCTCGACAAGACCCCACTCGAGGATCCTTTCATCTGTCAGCGCCTGCGACCGGTGCGGAATCATGTCTGGAAATCGATACTCATGGCATAGGCAGCGAAATTAATGCCTGTCAAGCCTGAGCTGTAACACGGGAAAGCTCACGCGTCTCAACGCATGACCTGACGGTCACGATTCGGGTCAAGCCCCCCTAACAATTTCTTGATTGTGCTTACCGGTGCCGGCTTTTCCTTGTCATTTTGACAGCCGGCTGCATTCTTGGCTGCAGCTCGGCCTTCTTGGCTCTTGCACGGGCAGCTGCGTCTTGACGATTTCTGAGGGTCTCAGCCTCTGCTGCCTGGCCGAGCTTGTCGGCCATACAGCACTCCAAGACGTCCACTCGCTTGCCCAAAGTCTGCACGACGTTCATCGTGTGCTCGGCGGAGGTGTCCACAAAAGACTCTAATAGCTCGATGCGCTCCCTCAGGCTGACTTTGAGGGGTGTTTTCTGGCTGACCGTGCCATCCGCTTTCTCGACACTGCTAGCCAAGGCTGGGATTGCCCATGCCTCGCCGCGAGTGCTTACGGCGACCATTGCCGACGCCCTGGCACTGGCAAGCTGAAAGGAATCGCCAACCCCCATAGCCTTCTCCAGAAAGTCCATTCGGTGTTTTAGCGAGGCAACCTGTTCCTCTTCAGCCAGACCGAACTGCCGCTCCAGTCGATGCACACGCTCAACCAAGTCACACTTTTCGGTCTCGAGCCTGTCCACTTTCCACATGTATCGCTCTGCTCTGCTTTTAAGTTTTCAACACCGACGTGATGCTGCAGGCCATCCACACTGGCGACAAACCTCTTTGCAAACTCCCAGGCAACGCGCAGTCTTCTCAAGAGAGTTCAATCGCTCGAGCGTCACCGACTCCCGCTGCACAAGCTGCTCCAGATGTCTCAGGCGTTGCATGAAAGGCACCTGACTCATCTCCTCATCCACAATTGTTTCATCCGTCCCGCCTATGACCTGCTCAAGGATGTCCATGTGGTCCTGGACGCAATCGTGCCGCTCGATATGCTGCGACAGCTTGTTGTCGAGGTCCAGGAACATGTCGTTACGTGTGGCAGCCTCATCTTCGAGTTGCTTCTCAAGAGCAAAGTGTTTTTGCTCCATCTCCTGCTGTCTCCGTGCCTTCGATGTGAAGCTGGCGTCGAGCTCGTCGGTCTTGTGCTCGAGTTTGGCCAACTTCAGCAGCAAAGTAGCAGGGTCACAGCTGCGCACCTCTCGCTGCAGAGGGTTCTTGGCCTCGAGCTGCTTGTCTTCGAGGCTGCTCAATTCAGGTCCATGTCTTGGCCGCTTCGGCTCTGGTTCCGACGTCCCAACAATTACCTCTGCCTGCACAACATGCAAATCCTTGGTGCACTTGCCGCCTTGCTCTAGGGGCCTCAGCTGCATCTGGGACAGATCTTCCGGCGTCTGCTGCACATCCATGGCTCTCGCTGTTGCCCGTCTGCCTCGACGCTGAAGCTACCTCTGAATCTTCAGTCCAAAAGTAGAACTTGGAGGGCTAGCAGCAACAACAGGAACAGCATCCTGTTGTCACTGGCGACTACATTTCAATGAGTGCAACTTGTATGTAGCTACTTCATGGCAGCCCACGTGCAGACACATCTCCAACACACTTGCCTATGTACGCCAACACAATGCTTTAGTAAGACTGGCAAGCAATGGTGCCGCCATTGCCGTTTTGCTACCACTCGTGTTGTGGCATTGCAATCACAGTCCTTCGCCACCCACTATCCTGTTACTCCCGATGCTCTGTACTTGAAGTACTTCTTTGTTGCAATTGCCAATCTGCATGCGAGCATGCAGGCGTATCCACGATCAGCATCAGCACGTTCTTGCAAACGGCAATAGTAGCAGATGACTACACGACTATATTCTTCTTACCAGCAAGTTGAGGGTGTTGGGCGTAATCTCGCCATTACGGTTGCTGTTGCCAAACGTATAAGCCCCTTAGTATTGCTATCGCTTGTGCATTTGCTGTGATCGATGCTGCTCCCCGTCATGTTGCTGCCACTCCGGCCATGAACAGTGGAACTGACGCTGCTGCCGGTATTGTGGCCGCTGCTTCTGAATATACTACAGCTACGGTTGCTGCTGCTTCCACACAGGCCAGTAGCCACTAACACTACTGCTAGTGCTAGCGCCCGTGGCAGTTGTGCTTGTACTGGTACCGATACCACTACTACAAGTAGCCGGAGTACTTCTCATCTGTTCGCCGCTGTGGCAGTAAGCACCCAGGTGCACTCCTGCATACCGGACCTCTGCAGCGCTGCAGAAGCTGGCTCTGAATCGATCAAGTCCTCTAGAAGTGCAGCGCTTTCGGGCCTGAGACATGTGAGTTTCGAGGATTGCAATCATTGGACTTCAGGGGGGTGAATGTCCTAAGACTCAGAGTCTTCCGAGCTGAAACCATACCCAATTTGCTGCGAAAGGCAAGTAAAGGGATTTGGGGCACACGGTCACTCCACATCATGACATCTTACAGCCTCGGCCCAAGCCTCGAACCCTAGGCCCTACACGTCCGCAACTCTGTGCTCAGCTTTGAACTTCTGACGAGAATCTGCATTCCCTGCTCTAGGCGAAGGGCTGCGAGATCTCGGATGCCTCAGCTTGTGGTGGATCTAAAGCTTGCTGCCTATGAGTTCGGGATTCGAAGCTCAAAGAGTCTGCAGGGTTCAGGGTTGAGGACTGGAAGTTGAAACCTTAACTTCCGCAGTTCACAACATGGCACTTATGGCTATCTCTTCGTAAGGTTCCTTGGTCTCTCTTCAGTCGACCCCAAGTGCCTGAAACGGAACTCCTTAAGCTTTACGGTTTGTCATGGAACTCAGCTTCCATCAGTGACATCATCTGCATGAGCCTGACATACTTCGACCACCCGTAGCATCACAAGGTAACAACTTAAAGCAACCCTCGGGCCCTGGCCTCCAGACTCGCGACCCCACTAAGACTTACCTCCGCGGCCCTTTCAACCATACAAGACCCTGGGCACAAAACCCACAAAGTCTGAAAACCAAAAGTCGGAAGAACCTTCGCAACTCCACCCCAGTCCGAGCAACATCGTGAAGCCCAAGGCCCTGCCAGTTTTCGGCAGGTGGGCTTTGCCTGCTCCAGCAGCAGCTCTGCCTTGTCCTTGAAAACACGAGGCTCTGGGTGCCAGGGTTTGCGGGTGCCAGTCAGTGTGTCTGCTCGCCTGTTTATCGCTGTCTGTCTGACTCTGTATGTATGGATGTATGCCTGTATGTATGCATGTATGTACGCAAGTCTATATGTATGTACATACGTACGTAGGCATGTATGTATGTGTGTATGCATGGACGCATGGATGTACGTATGTATGTATGCATGTATGTGTGTGTGTGTGTGCGCGCGTGCGTGCGCGTTTGCGTGCATGTGTGTATGTGCGTATTGTGTATCAGTGTATGTGTGCATGTGTAGGCGTATGTGTATGTGTGTCTGTATATTATGTGTGCGTATAGTACATGTGTATGTATATGAATATGTATATGAATACGTATACGTAAATATGTATAAGTATAAGTGTAAGTCTATGTGTATGAGTGTGTGCACATGCATGTGTATGTGCATGTATGTAGACGTATGTATATGTAGGTACATGTATGGGATTTTGTATGTATGCATATGGGCGTGTGATGTGCGTATGTACAATACTCGGCAGGCATGCATGGATGGATGGATGGAGAATGAATGGATGCATGGATGGATGTATACACGAACATATAACGGATCACGTATTCATCAACCAGTGGTACGTGCAGTGCTCTCCCCTCTCTGACTCCTGCGGTTATCTTCATTGAGGTCGCTTTGCCCACCGGTAAAGCGACTATTACCCTTGTCTGTGCTGTGCCGAATCATGTGCCAAAGACTTAGACTTACAAGCACCTGCATTACTGTTACTCGATGGTAATCCGACGTGGCCACAGCAGCTGTGAGGCTTGAAGTTCTTGCCGTTTGCCAGGTTATGGCCAAGATGCAAGACAGTGCATCTTGATGTACGCCCCGGCAAGATCCTCGTTTAAGTCGGGTTGCAGCTTTGGCTCGCAGTTCGGCAAGCTTATGCTGCACATGAACCATGGCTTGCCTGTGCGAGGAGATTGCCGCTACGGGTGGAAGTCCAAGCTTCCTTCACTGCATTCATGCTGCTTCAGATAACTATAGTTCGGAGAGGTTTTCGTACCGAGGGGCTCCTGATGGTTGCCAAGCTTGCGACTCGCATCTGGGTCCGGATTGTCGCTGGATGATCAAACTGAATCTTGAACGGCTATGGCGGCCGCCTTCCGCCCAGAGCTCACGAAGCCATGGGAGGCGTCAAGAACAGAGCATGATGCATCCACTTCCCATTTCTTATGCTCCAAGTCGAGCCACGCAACACCAAGTCTCGCTGAAAGGTCTGGAAGAAGTGAACTGTGAACTCTCAACATCCGCCTAGGCTCCAAAGTGGCGCGCAGCAGGCGGGTGTCATTCAAGTCGCCCCTGTATCTCTCGACCAACTTGGCGTACCTCCGGCGCGACGCACTAAGGCTTAGGGCACTTTCTTCTCCGTCGAGATCCCGACCCTCAGCTCCCAAGCGAAGCAGAACGAGCTGAAGAAGGAAACTGAGAATCCTGGTCCTGATGTAGCTTTAGCACATGATGCCCATAATAGGTGTTCACATACACCCTAACGCCTAAGTGTCTCTATCTCTGTCGTTCTCTCTCTCTCTCTCTCTCTCTCTCTCTCTCTCTCTCTCTCTCTCTCTCTCTCTCTCTCTCTCTCTCTCTCTCTCTCTCTCTCTCTCTCTCTCACACTACTACCATCCCCGCCAATACAACCACCACGACGACTGCCACAGATCCTGCATAGCAACCGGAATCGGGGCCTATCTTCCAGCGCACGCAGGGCTGCCCCGTTGGCGGCGGCACCATCAGCGAAGGGAAGGGCAGACCTGCAACTACTGCTTACGATGCTGCGGCTGATGCTATTCCTTCGGGCACTATTCTGCCCACCCGCGACTGGAACTACACTGCCGCTGTACCACGAGCGCCACCACCACCATGTGGACAACGACTACTCTACATCTTTCCTGCTCTGGCTGCGACCTGCCAGCACATACCAGCTCAAACCCTTCCGTGCAGGTAGGCGGCCAGGGAAACACGGGTTCGGCAACATCCGGCTCCGAAATCTGCACCTTTCTCTCCGTCAGCACCTCCTAGACAGTGGAAAAAGCTTGAGGCTCTTTGGCCTGGTGCGCAGGCGAAAAGGGGTTGAGAGGTCGAACGGCTCCAGCATGAAGGCTCGTGGGCCATCTGGCTTGTGGTCGCAACGTCGGGTAGCCGAGTTCTTCATGCGTCAGGTATCTCCGAGTCGTATTGGTTTACAAGCACTCGGAGGCAACCCCAACCCGAAATTTCAACCTCAGCTCTGGTTTGGTTTTGCGGGAGGTTCGACGTTCTGGGCGCAAGACGCATCAGATCTATGTAGGCATGGGCAGCTGGGGGCCAAAATGCCAAAACTTCTTCTGAATCAGCCTGCGACAATTCCTTCGGCAACCTGACAGTCGTCTTGCCTGAATTACAGTCAGCAGGCAAAAAGAAGAATCCACTGAAACTCGAACCAACGATTCTAAAAGTGCACGAGAATCCCAAACTCCAGAAAATTGGCCAAACACCTCAAGCTCACAGCTGTAAAGCCCGAGCTGCAAATGCGCTCACAATCTCTAGACTCTGGACCAGCATGATAAACCCTGAAACGCGATAGGAAACGAAGCACTCCTCAACTGGCTCAGCCTTCCTGCGACAGAGTGATCGCAGCTCGGCCTGGCTGAGCAATGGATATTTGTGTGTGTGTGTGTGTGTGTGTGTGTGTGTGTGTGGGGGGGGGGGGGGAAATATGTACGGACAAATGGATGGCAAGATAGGTAGACAGATAGGCAGGTAGGTAGGCAGGCAAGCAGGTAGGTAGATAGGCAGGTAGGTAGCAATATATGTATGTAGGTAGGGAGATAGGCAGATACATACATCCACGCATGCATTCCTGCATGCACACATACATGCATACATACATACATTACATACAGAGGTGCATGCACATGTACATAAATGTACACATACATACATACGCACTTACATACATACATACATACATATGTGCATACATGCGTGCATATGTACACACGTACATATGACATACATACAGAAATCCATACTTTCCTGCATACATACTATCACACATACATACATACATACATACATGCATACATATACATACATGTGCACATTGACAAGCACAGACACATACACGCATGCACACGTACAGATACATGCAGACATACCCAGATACATACACACTTACATACCCAAATACACACATAAATGCAGGCATAGAGACAGACAGGTGCATACATACACGCATCCATCCATCCATCCATCCATCCATCCATCCAGCCAGCCAGCCAGCCAGCCAGCCAGCCAGCCATCCATCCATGCGTCTATGAATGCATCCATGCATGCAGGCATTACATTAAATGCATGAATATGTACAGATGCATGAAATATGTATACACATATATCTGCACATGTGTATATATATATATATATGATATGTCTACAGAAGAGAAGGCTGTCGTGCCTGCGTTTTTGCAACCCACTATTTTCAGTGGTGTTGTATGTGTCTCTGTATATATATATATACACACACAGCACCATACACCCATGGTCATCCATGCATGCATACCTACCTACGCACATACATGCCTACATACATTTGTGCACATGCATACATACATGGAGTTTAGGGCGCTGGGCGGCATTGAAGCTGTGTTTCGCTTCACAGACTCGTAGACTTGCGCTGAACCTGAAAAGCAAACCCGAAACAAAGCAACTTCAAATATAACAGAGCTTGGGAAGTATTTTATAGTGTAACTATATCGGCCTTGCACCAGACAGACATCGGCAAATCTCGCGCAGTGACCACAACTAGCAGTCCAATTGACGATGATGGGTAAGTTTGAGCTGCAGTAACATTCCGAATAGGCCCAGGGTTCCAAACCACAGAGCTGCTGGGCCAACACATCTGAACCAATGACTCCAACCCTGAGCCATCGACCCTGAATCGCCTGGACCCTTTTCCCACCCTGCATCCCCACACCCGCAAACCCCAATCCTATCCGAAACCCTGAAAACCTCGAACCTGTAGGCCCTCAAATCACAGTTCGAAGATCCAACTGAGCCTCGGCTCGCGCAAAGGCGTCTCTTTGGCCTTCCAATGCAGCCTGCCCCGGCTACCAAATTTCCGACTTCGCAACACAAAAGGCTTCAAAGATCTGGGGTGGAAGCATGCTTTTTTTGTCGCCTTCGGGCTGAAGCTTGTCAACTAGGGGCATTAAGGTTTGGACAAATGCACTTTCTGAAGCAGCGGTACGATCGCTTCAGTCAGGAGCTGGAAGGGCGGCAAACGATTACCGGGCAATTTCAGCTTACAGGTTGCGCTGCATGAAAACGAGGGCTCTGTTTTGCGCAGGCTTTCGGGCGCAGTTGAAGCCCGAGGGTCCATGGTTTGCTATGGGGCCTGTGCCTGCTGCGGATCATGATGTGGGAACGCTGGCACCGAGACAAACCCGGTCTTGGCATGTATGAAGTCAGATCTGTGAAATGAAGCCAGACATCCCAGTTCTTGGCATGTCGAGTTTCGTACTTTGCAGGAGGATTCTTCCCATGCTGGCACAGTGCCAAGCCGTTTAGAAACCTCACGCACAGAATTCAAGAGCAACAGGTTTGCAGGATCGTTAGTCTCTTCTGATGAATCTCGAATCTCCGGCAAATAGATCCTGACGAATTGAATCCAAGAGCCCACTTCCAAAATGCCCTGCGAGGCACAAGTGCGCCTTTCCAAGCGCAGATGTAAGTGTGGCGACACCCTGCAATGCTGCAAGCATAACCTTTACCTCCTCCTTCTCCTGAGCCTTACCTTGAGGCACACGGACTCTAGCTCTCATGCACCTGGTTGCTAGGCTGTGTGCTCAGAGTCGAGCTGCGAGCTCAGAGGACAAGCCAGCACACCAAGGCTGCCTGCGAAACACACTGAACTGTCTGAAGACAGTGGTGCCTCGATCTCTCGCGGCTTTGACCGAAAAGCAGCTTCACGACAGGCCCCGCGCAGGTCCGCGACCTTTCATTTCAATTGTTTCTGAAGGCGCTGATTGCAGGTGGAGGTGCAGTGGCTGGCAAGAGTCTTTAGCGACTTACTCGGTTTGACTTGCTCTAACTCAGTTTAAGCTAACTTAACCTAACCTAGCCTAATTGACCCAAATCGTATGCTGCGCGCACTTTACGCAAAATACCCCACCCTACCCCAGTATACGTAGACATTTTACGTAGTAATCTACCCTGCAACACTAAACTAAACCATACCCCACCCCACCCCACCCACGCTGCCATACGGACTACCCAAACGCGAAAGGCATCCACTTAACCGAAACCATACCCCATGCCCCCCTCCCCCATGTTATTCTTCCCCCGCACCCCAAGCGAATCTGCCACAAACTACTTTACACTCCTGACGCGCAAACCCTAATCCCTAGCCCAAACCCAACCTTACCTAAACCACCTACGCTACCCTTTCCTGCCCTACTCGAGCCGGCCCTACTCTGACCCCTGCTCTGCACCGCGAGCCTGGCCTCCCTACCCTACATGGCCCTGCACGGGCAGGTTTAAGATATGGAAAGACATAGAATCAACCCCCATCGCCTAATACGGAATGGGATGAAGATATTATGAGATCAACCGCACTCGCCTCACGAGGGTCCGGGTTTAACATCTGGGATCAACCGCTCTCGCCGGCGGTTTGGCACAGGAAACCAACCGCCATCGGGGTTCAAGACATGCGATGAGGCGCCACCGTCTACCCAGAGGTCGGGTTTAAGAAATGGGACTAACCAAAATCACTGAAAGCGGGGGCGAGCTGAAGATACGGCAGCAGCTGCAGCCTTTCGAAACTTCGCAGTTTGAAACTTTCGAACTCAAAACTCGGCAAACTTTCGAACTTGACGTGTTTCAAACCTTCAATCTTCTGAAATTGCCAAACGATCGAACTCTCAAACTCTCGATCTTTCATGTCGTTCACACTTTCAAGATATCGCATTCCAAATGAGTCAAAGCTTGAAGCTTTCGAACTGTCAATTTAGCGACCTCAATGGCCAGCAGCAGACCGAATCTGAAGCCAACTTTTCAAACTCCAGGCTTTCGAACGTTCGTTGTTTCGAACTGTCGAGCTTGAAACTATCGAACTTTCTAACTCGAGACTGTCGAACCTGTCAGACATACAAACTTTCGCCGATGCCGATCGAACTGGGCCACGGAAAAAGTTTGAAGCTTGAGTTCGAGGCCGCCCTTCGAGTTCGAAAGATCGAGGGTGTGAGAGTTTGAGAATGCGAAATCTTCGAGATTGACGAGGTCTCAAGCTTGCCGCGCTCGCTTGCGCATACCAAGTCGGCACAGCCTTTCGAACTCCGGCACCTTTGAAGCTTTCAACCCTTCAAAGATTCAAACTTTCCAAACTTCAGACCGTCATGCTTTCAAACTCTCAAACCTTCGAGTTCGCACGACCTCGCTCGGGACACTATTCCGCCCTAATCAAAGCTATCCCAGACCATAATAACCCGACCCAATCTAACCTAACCTGAAATACCCTGCGTGTCCGACCCTCCCTCCCCCACCGTCACACCTGCCCGCCTAACCCAAACCAAACCAATACAGACAGAAGCAAATACGTTTACAACCAAGATACGCAAGCTCTTGAAGCCTAAGCCCGATGATGACGCATCGTAGGGGATCCGAGGATGCTTACTTGTGCAAGTGTCTTAGATGAACAGCTGCTTCAGAGACAAACATCAACTAAGGACGACTGCAAGGAAAACCTAGAAGAAGCTGATTCAGATGAGCATGAAAAAAGAGAGGGAGTCGGGAAAGCTCTTCAGGGGTTTCGAGAGACCGACCTCGGGCTTCCAGAGCTCATTGCAGGATTTTTTCAGCATTTCCCAAGCCCTGACCCGGAGATGCC